GAAACTAAAAGAAAAAAAAATAATTCTTATGCAAAGGTGACCTACTCTTTTTCTTTCATATTAATTATATGACTTATTTACTTCTTTTGTTTCTTGCTCTAAGAAGAGTCCATAATTCTCCAGAAAGGGGATTAAATTTGACAATGTATACGGCCTCTTACAGATAGTGAAGCATAGAGTCCAGGGAAACTGAACATGTGACCCTGGTTACAAGACTACATCAAAGGTAAGATGAACCAAAAGACCGTAAATAAGCTTAGAAGTCAGGGTCTCCTACTCAGCCGCAGCCCGACCCTGTGTTCTACAGGCAAACATACAAAACTTGTCCAAGTTGGAAATTCTCCATTTATGGGTTAATTTTAGTACAAAAGTTTTCTGTGTGTAGATAGATGGGTTACTTGCCTCTCCGGTCAGCAGGGATCAGTCATTTCATAAAACAATTTATGCCTTGTCTATATCAGGGGTCTCCACCCATGCTTCTGGAGAGCCCCTATTCTGCAGGTTTCATAGGTAGACATTAAATCACTGATTTCTAAAAACCTTAAACAATTCTGCAATCTGCTGAACACATGATTTGTTTAAAGTAATTTAGTGAAGACTTCAAATAATAAAAAAACAGGATACAGTTTGGCCTGGAAGGACCAAAGTTTCCTTAACTAAACAAATTATTGCTCAACTGATCAATAGCTTCCCAATCTTTGAAACTGTTCCTAATCTTAAAAAACAGCTATTAGACAAACTGGAGTATGGTTCTCCAAATTGAATGTTGGAGACTATTGGTCCAAATGTTTCAAAAGAATTATGCCTTCAGAAAGTGTTCAGACTCCTCCACGTTTTCCACACTTTGTGTTGTAGACTTATTTCAAAATGGATTGAATTGATTCTTTTTTTCCCATAAATTGACACCCAATAATGGCAAACTGAAAACAAGTTTTTAGAATTTTTAGCAAATTTCTTAAAAATAAAGAACTGAAATCTCCCATTTACAAAAGTATTCAGACCCTTTATTATGACACTCCAAATTGAGCTCATATGCATCCTATTTCTTTTGATCATCCTAGAGATGTCTCTAGAACCTGACTGTAATCCACCTGTGGCAAATTCACTTGACTGGACATGATTTAGAAAGGCACACGCCTGTCTTTATAAGGTCACACAGTTCACAGTGTATGGCAGAGTAAAAAACAAGCCATGAAGTCCAAGGAACTCTCTGTAGACCTCTGAGATAGGATTGTGTCAATCTGGGAAAGGGTATTAAACAAATTGGTGACACACTGAAGTTTCCCAGGAGCACAGTGGCCTCCATCATTGTCAAATGGAAGAAGTTTGGAACCACCAAAACTCTTCCTAGAGCTGGCCATCAAGCCAAATTGGGCATTTGGGCAAGAAGGGCCTTGGTCAGGGAGGTGACCAAGAACCCAATTGCCACACTAGAGCATAGGAGTTCCAGTGTAAAGATGGGAGAACCTGCTGGAAGAACGACCATCTCTGCAGCACTCCATCAATCAGGTCTCTATGGTAGAGTGGCTAGACGGAAGCCACTCCTGAGTAAAAGGCATATGACAGCCCGCCTGGAGTTCGCCAAATGGCACCTAAAGGACTCAGAGGAAAAAGATTCTCTGGTCTGAAGACAAACAAATTGAACTCCATGTCTGGCAAAAACCAGGTACCGCTTATCACCTGGCTAATACCATTCCTACGTTGAAGCATGGTAGTGGCAGCATCATGATGTGGGGATACTTCTCAGTGGCAGGGACTGGGATACTGGTCAGGATTGAGGGAAAGATGAATGTAGCCAAATACAGAGAGGTCCTTGAAGAAAACCTGCTCCAGAGCGAACACAACCTTGGACTAGGGCGAAGATTCACCTTTCAGCATGACAACGATCTGAAGCACACAGCCAAGCCAACGCTGGAGTGGCTTCAGAACAAGTCTCTGAATGTCCTTGAGTGACCCAGCCAAAGCCCAGATTTGAACCCCATACAAAATCTATGGAGAAACCTGAAGATTGCAGTTCACCAACGCTCCCCATCCAATTTGACAGAGTTTGAGAGAATCTGCCCAAATCCAGGTGTACAAAGCTGGTGGAAGCATACCCTAGAAGTCTCGCAGCTGTAATCGCTGCTAAAGGTGCTCCTACAAAGTACTGAATAAAGGGTCTGAATACTTATGTAAGTGGTAGATTTCAGTTTTTATTTAACAAATTTACAAAAATTCCTAAAAATGTGTTTTCACATTGTCATTATGGGGTATTGTGCGTCGACTGATGGTAAAAAAGAATCAATTCATCCATTTTAAAATAAGTCTACAACCCAACAAGATTTGGAAAAGGCGGAGGGGTCTGAATACTGTCTGAAGGCACTGTAAACATTTACAGAGAAAAATACTCATACTGACTCTATTCAGGGTCTTTGGCTCTTAAATCCCAACTGCTTCCTATGTAAACACCAAAGTGCTTTGAGTACCCCAGGACTGTGGGACTGGGTGTGTTTCCTCTGGCATAGAAGCAGTGTGGCGTAGTGGTCAGGGCTCTGAGCCAAAGGACCGTAGATACAGATCCTGGGTGAGAACATGTTGAATTCCTGATAAAAAGTACTTCACCCAAAATGCACTAGAACATGCCCTGATGTATGAATGGATCTCCAAGATGTGACTGACAATTTGTTCTCACTTGACCTACCTGGTATAAAGGTATAAAGAAAATGAAGAAAAAAAAAGAAAAAAATAATTTACCACTTAATTAGTTTTGCACTTAATCACTGCAAACGTGAGCTAAGCAATGTGGCACAACATAAGTATACTAGCATTTCAACAACATTAAAACATTAAAACAAAAATGTACAAGTACTTTGAAATCAATGAAGTTTTAGTATTGCAATATAAAAACTCAGTCTAACCTATACCCAGATTCCATTACAACGTCATCATCTATTTAATGTATGATCACATTACAAAGTCATTAAAGGGCAATACACATTTTGTAAAGAAAAACACTTAAATTGCATTGTGCCTGTGCGTGTATAAGCTTTTTTTCAGCAACCCGTAGACCTGTTCTGTGGCTACAAACATTAAGTTTATTGGCAAAGATAACCTTACGTACCTACAGGGCAATCTTGTACTGCAAATAAATTAACCATATTTATTATACATCAACCTCCAAATGCAACAGTTAAATATATCACGTTCTTATCAAAAACATATGTTAAAATAACTTCAGCACATGCAAAGAGCCAGAAAACAAGTCCCTCAAATTCAACGTCAAAATTGAAGGAAAGGCTGACATTTGTTTTTGGGGTTTTTTTTTCCGTGTTACCGAGTCTTTAAAAGAGAAAATTGGTAGCAGATGTATTGTCTGCAAAGGAGAATGACCAACCTGAACAAAACAGGAAAAAGAGGGATTGCTGCAGCTGGGAGGCGGGGAAGGTGGGATGTGGTTACCATCTTTGAAAAAACTTAAAACATGAAAAAACAGAGCTTCTAGAAAAACAGCGTTGTGGAGTGTGCCATACTGACAGGAGTTTTATACCTGCATATAAACCGTTAAGTTCCTCGACCAATCAGAAATACAGACAACTGAAGTAAACGAAAACGCCTTAGGTTTTCAAGTCAAAGATATTCAAAGTCTGTCAGGCTAACTCGTGTTAAATATAAATGCGTTTTGCCTCACGCTTTACCCAATTTAACTCTGAATACTAAACAAACGAGCTGGACCCTGTCTGGGGAGAAGTCCTAAAAACTGAATTCGCCTTTATGTGCGCTCCACGCTGTGACAGATGTCTCCTGTCAGTAACTCTAGAGCGGAATTTGCCCCCCAAAGAAATCCACATCCTGAGCGCATTTGGACAAACAGCGACTTTCAATACTTCAAAGTCGACCCAGATGTGAATGTAAAGCCCCCCCCACCCCATCTACAGAAGTATATTTCGATAAACAGTGATATGAAATTAATTACTATATTGAAAGGTTTTTGCTGAATATAGCTCTGGGAACATACTATACTGTACGTCACTACAAATTCAGACAAGGAGCTTTGGGTACGTATGAAATTTGGATACAAGTAGGATAACCATTTACACAAATATAAAATATACAAATGTTATATGTATAAATTATTTACACATTAGTTCTTCTGATTAAACGCATTTCCCCTTATTAAAATACATTTGAAAAGTGAGTTTTTTAGTAAAGTCACTTGAACTGCTAGTGTCTAGCGTCTTGCGCGCAACTAGCGGCTTCTCGTACATTAACTCTGCAGGACAACATGTTATGAACAAAAGCACATTTCATAAGTGAAGAGACAAGCGTTTTATGTTAAATAACAAACTGCTACTTATTTGGAAGCTAAGTGCCGTAAACAACAACAGTAACAGTACAAAAAATAAGAATGAATGAAACTTTGTCATCGTACACCGGTGCGCAGCCTACAAACACTATCCTTTTTTCTTTCATAGAGGGACATTTTTTTGTGGAGAAAACCCCAAAGTCAATCAATACACAAAATAAATATTAATTCACACGTCTTACGTGGTCATGTCAGAACTCGCATTTAATGCAAACGTACAAAAAAATGCCAACTCGGTCAACTGTTTAAACACACTAGATGGAGTAAAGAGCTCCCGAAAGTTTCGGAAAACTCGAAGCGATCACGTTGTTAGGAGGTGTAGCTTTCAGATGTTCAGTGCTGTCTGTAATACACAGATTATCCACCTATATCTGCCTACAGTTCTCTTATTTTGTTTTGCCAACAGTATCATTTCGGGTTTTACTGTACAGCTGTATTGTATGGGTCTCGCAGAAGTGCAACTGGTTTAAGTGCGTAAAAAATTGTAAGCAATTTTACCACAGTGCGATTCCTCGTATTTAACACGACAGACAAAAAAAACCCACTAGTTGTAATCAATCAAAGGGCAGAAAGGAGAAGTGTAAATATTTTCTTAAAATTGTAGCAAAAAAGGCCCACACTGAGTTTTTTAAGACATAAAATCATAAAAGTAACTTACCCTGAGCCTGCACGAAATCGTGGATGTTGAAGACGAGGAAAAAAATGATCATCTCAAAACACACAAACATCTTATTGAAATCCTAAAGCACATCGTGGACGAAAACATAAATCAAACTCGGGCGCAATGACAGGCTCCATGAGACCATCACTTGGGTATCGGCTTCTGCACAGCTTTTCAACAGCACACAGGCCAAAGAGTGCAGGGGGGAGAACTGGCCCTGTGGCCTCAGCCCTAACTGAGCATGTGCAGAAACAAAACTCCCTGGAAGCGCCGCTCTCTCCGGTCGCGAGAGGGCCGGATCAGCGGCGACATCAAAGGGAAACGCCGTTTATTAAGGAAAGAAAAGTTTCGTCTGAGCCATAACTGACATGTACAGTTAATCGTGATCTGTGCTGCAGTTTGAAAAAATACACTACTGTCATTATTACTTCTATTATTATTATTTACATTAAATAATTCATATTATTTACAATAACTGTAGTTAGTAAGATGGCTTTCGGGTGTGTTACTTCCAAGCACGTTTGTATTGTATTATTTTAATTCGACCCTTCAATCACATTTATTTAAATCTTTTCTTAAGTAATTTCTTCAGAAAAAAATATTTTGCATCGCCACCTTGGCATGAGTCCCATGCTGTTAATGGAGCGAAATAGCTCGAGTGGAGTTTGCTTTCATGATGGACACCTTAAATATAAGTCCACATGACAGCAGAATCACCCGTGAAGTACTGTACAAAAGAAATCAGTAATCAGCTTTTTCTGCCTTTCAGCCTTGTTACAATAGTATCCATGCTCTGGCTTCATAGAATGGACCTTACTGATCATAAATGAATAATTCCAGTTGTTCTTCCCTCCTGGCACTGTTTAAAGTCCATTAACCTCTACATGATTCACATGACCCCTCTGACCTCCAGTGCAGGTCTGGTGCCCCTCCAGATCTGTAGCTGTTCTGTAGGTTCAAGACTAAAGAACAGTGTGGTCAGATATAGAGACAATGGGGACACATGAAAGCAGCAACATCTGTGTCTAGATTATCATTCTTGAGGGGAGCCAAAATGGAGTAGCATCCAAACTATAGCAGCCCAAAGAATAGCACAGAAAGAAAATGTGTAGCTCCATTTTTACTTGTGGTTGTTCCTTACGCTTATACAGTATATACATCCCTCCATTTTCTAAACTGCTTTATTCAATACAGGGTTGTGGGGGAAATGGAGCCTAATCCAGGAAACAACAGGCGGAAGGCAGGATACATCTCAGACAGAACACCAGTCCAGTGCCAGGCACACACAGACACAATACACACACTCGCAGCAGTGACAATTTTGCAAAAGCCAATTAATATATCCTTGGACCTTGGGAGGAAACCAGAGCACCTGGAAGAAACCCATATGAACATGGGGAGAACATACAAACTCCATGCAGATATCATCCCAGGAAATGGGCCCCACCACTGCAAGGTAGCTATACTATTCACTGTGACATCATGCTGCCTGACATGTATATATATGATTAATATTAATCGTTTTATTTTAGGTAGTAACTCAACTGAATCTGCTGTTGAAGCTGTTGTTGGTAGAATCTAATGAATAGAATCAGAAATCCCAAATCTAGTAATACAGTAAATGAATGTACAGCAAACAGATAAACCAATAGATTTTAATGGCTATATTTCCTGGAAAAACAGTTAAAAAGAAAAGACTTGACCTTCCTTGAGGTGCCATTTACAAAGTCATTCACATGTTATTGCTTGAATGAAAAAAACCCCCACAAACTACAGTTTATACATTAAACAAGACAAGGTTATCATTTTGATTAAAAATACTGAGGGTGTGAAGTAGTGATGGACTTTTCCATTTCACACATTTCTTTCCTTTTTAAAAGCTAGAGAAGCAGGTCAAAGTTTATTTTTAAATAAAGGCTTTGTAACACCTTTGTATTTGGTCATTCATATGATAAGAACAACAGGCCACTCAATGGAAAACATGTAGTTTGTTCAAAGTGTGACCCACATCAGCTGTGTTCTCTGATGGTCTTTCACACCTGGAAAAGATCCTTCTTGGCTATAAACCCACTCCATGTGCAGCAGCATATTTTTAAAGCTATAGTACTCACTACAGGACTCTAATCAAGTCATTATAATCACCCAGACTCAGAGTCCCCCTTGATAGTACTGTATGTGGGCTTGTCTACATTTATAAAAACACAAAGTTTTTTTTCTAAGAAGTATTTACTTCTATTGGTGACAGCTCTTTAAATGAGGCAAACATAACTTTTAATTGTGTCTGATTTAATTTTACATGCTACATGACATTGTGATGGGTTTGCTTTACACCCAGCTGTCACCACCTTCAGGATGTATATTTTTTCCCATTCATTCATTTATTCTTGGTCTGTTAATGGAAACTAATTTGTTTTTTATAATTGCCTCAGTGCTGTAACTGTGTACTGTATATGTGTATCGTATGTACCCTATGAATCAATACACAACAGAGGTTTATGGATGTTGAGTGAAACAGACAAACTGAACACCCAAGTAAATCTTTACATCAGAAAAAGCGATTTATACAGTAGTTGTATTTGAAAATGACTGACAGCAGTGAGGTAATCAAAGATATGCAGTTTATGTGATATTTCACAAATCTGGTTTGCATCAAAGCAAAACCTTCACATCAATTTTACTTCCATAGAGATCAATAGATAAATTTTACATCCATGAAATGTTACTCTCAAGATTCAATTTTCCTCACTTTTATAGCTCTTTTTCTTGTTTAAATTTTTTATGCTGTAGATTCTTGATCTTAGTGTACTAACATTTTCAATACACTACTGTAGTTTTTTAGTTCGCCACATGCTGTAGTTTTCTTTCTTAAAAGAAACTTTACACATTTTTTATATACTGTATAATTTGAGCATTATTCTTGATAATACTCTGTAAGCATTTGAGTTTTTATTTTTGTGGAATTTATTTTGGAGTTATATAATACAAATGTATTGCATATTACACATATTAATTGTTTTATTATTGGTGTTGTGCTAAGATAAGTGCTTTAGTTTTTGTCAAATTGCCCCAAAAGCCCTAGCATATTTCAATGCCATTAATGAGCAGAGGAAATTACCCCATGTTAGAAATGAGCAATGAAAATCATTGGGTGCTGTGAAAACTAATTTCAATTAAAAAGTATTTAACAGAAGAAACCTGGAAGATAATTTTAAACAGGAAATCTTTTGATTTGTTTAGGACCGGGTCTGCCACTGTGGTGATGGAGAGGTTTTTATTCCAACTGAGCTCTGAATGTTTTATTGTATCTGTCAACCACTTAATTAGGAGGATTTAAAATTTCACTGAGGTCCTGCCTCTCAAAGACATGCTAACTAGGTTGGTTAGTATCTAGGTCTCTTAAATATCTCTGTGAGCATGTATGTGTTCTCTGCAATAGATGGTTATGCTATTCTGGGTGGAGATCTTTGTGGATAGGCTTAGGTTTACTGTGACCCTTACAAAGATTAGGTGGCCTTCTGACAATGGATGAAACGACGTTGATACAGAAATTGTCTCATGAAGCCATCTAGTGACGACAGTATGAACTGCACAGGGGGTAGAGCTGACAACCAGCAGAACATTGGTCAAACCTGACAGCATTAATTAAAAGTGTCATTGCATTACTTTTCTTTTCCCAGTATTTATGAATGAATTAAATTAAAAATAAAGTGAAAGAGTGTTTTGGATTCATCCTCATTATCTGAGAACGAATGCAAATCTGAGTTATAAAGAGATTCTGATCATTTAAAAAGAAAAAACTTTTGAAAAAAATAAGCATGTAAGTCTGAGAACTGCAAGTAAGGTTTCAAATATGTATTATACTTTTCAGAACACTTACAAATAACTGTTTTATGTAGGAAAATGTTCTTTAATTTAATTGAAATTAATAAATTTCATTATGAGTTCAATCATGAAACCATTCTTGGTGTTCCTATGATGAGCTAGCATTTCCCTTCTTCGAGTTTACTTCCTGTTGCGGAGGAAACTTGATCCTAAGTCTAGGTCTCCATTGAACAATGAGTCATGCTTCTAGGGAGGTTAATTGCAGAGGCCAGAGCCCACACTAGCAGGAAATTGTAAACAGAGTGTAGGAAAAGACTTGCTAAACCAGGAAGGATGTACAGCTATTTTATAAAACTTGTTTCTATAGACAGTGGAACAGTATTTCTGTCACAATATATGAACCAAAATCCATGGCATGACATTTATATTTTAAATGGGAATCATATACATTTAGAAAGGCAAATAACACATGAAAAAATAAATAAAAGAAGAGGAAACCTTCAACACAACACAGGGAAGCAATTATGAAACAACAGCAGGTATTGTAAGGTGTTGAGTTAAAATCAAAGGAGGTAATATTAAAACTACACAACACACTAAACCACATTTATAATACAAGACAGAATAGATACATAGTAGCACTGGAAAGAATAAAATCAAGAAGAAAGCATAATTAATCTGTGAAAAGGTGTTATTAAAAGAACTTAATATCTTGGGCAAGTAACAGAAAAGACTTTGCAGGGCTTTAATTCACAGTTTATTTGGAAAATTCACAGAATTATCTGGTCACATCATTTAAAGTGCTATAGATTCAGACCATTAGAAGATTAAAATGTTTGTTTTGCTGCTAGGTTAATTAGAACAGGGAACACAAGAGGCAGTTTTATACATAGCTGAAAAATAGTTGTATGTTTGGGACCTTGTGACAGTATCCTTGAGTCAATGACTTACAAGTAAATTAATGGGTAAGATGGACAGAATGGCCGTCATTCTCTTATAGCCTGCTTCATACTCCAACATAGGGTCATCAGATGTGAAACACAGCAACAAGCTGATCAAAGACATAAAAATTACAAGTCAAATTTGAACAATTAAGAAAATTAAAGGGCATTTTTTTTTCTTTTTTCCACTTCCCTCCCTTAATTTCAGCATATTGAACATATTGAGCAGGAATTGACACAGGCTCTTTTCATTATTTCTCACTGGCAATTATGAGGCAAAGAGTGAATGTGGTGGCCTGTTAATTAAAATTGAAAGCATTCTAATAATGGACTCTTTTTTTCCTTATATAGATAGATAAATCATCAAAGCATAACAAAGGATGACATCACAGCGCTGTGGCACAAACAGCTCATGTGTGGCTTCTGTAATTAGGTTACAGTTCTGCCCTGAGGCCAACCCAGCTGGGATTGATAC